CAAGCTTGCTGAGCAAGCCCTTTTATCTCCTGATCCCTCTCAGAGCCATGATGAAGCGGCTTATCTTCCCCACCCACTGGGTGTTTCCCCAAAGCAGCTGCAAATTTGAGGTAATCTAGTCAGCAGAGGCTACAGCCAGGGTGGATCCCAGAGGCAGAACATGGATCTAGCAACTGCACAAAGTCAAGGCCTTTCAAATGATTGGGTTGGGTCCTCAGGACCTGGAAGCATGGCACTGCAGAAGTCTGAGACCTTAGGAGAAGATGTGGGTTCTAGCAGAACGCATTCACAGCGAGAGATGGGAGAGCCAATGCTAGCTGTTACAGTCAGTTAATATCTGCCTTGTGCCTGCTCGAGAATGCAGCTTCCCGGCATTTGGTTAATGCCGTGATACCTGACTCATAGCAACATGGTAGAGAGTGAGGGAAATGATGGACGTATCCACCCTTTTCCCACCTCTTCATTTCTTCATGGTCACTCACATTCCCATCAGCAGTGTCTGATAGTTCCAGTTTCTCTGCATAATCCCAACACTTCGCAGGTTCTTATTATTGAGTTTTGAGAGCACTTTACTTTTCCTTGGTATAGGGGTGTGTGTGTGTGTGTGTGTGTGTGTGTGTGTGTGTGTGTGTGTGTGTGTTATTCATGAGAGGCAAGTTCTCTACCTATTTCTGAGTCACTTTCAGTCCTTGTATGTTTTTTTTTTTTATATAACTCTTCTGAAAAGAACTTCAAAAATGGATTCTAAAAGTCAAATGGAAATGCAATGTACCCAGCCAGGACAGCCCCAAACCAAAATGCATTAGAAGATCATGTTATCCAACACTAGCTGCTTTCCAGGCTCATCATCAAGATTCCCTGATCAAAACAATGTGGTTGTGGCATAAAAACAAACAGGTCAAGGGAACAGAGTTTCAAGGCTAGGTATAGAACAACACTGATTTGAAGAAAGTATCAAGGCAATTCCAGGAACAAAGGATGGTCTCTTTGGCTAGAACAATTGAACCAAAATGCATTAAGTGTTGACGTCTGTCATTATCTTGTACTATATATGAAACAGAAAGATTACAGACTTAAACACACTGCAAAAAACAATGACCAAGCACCTAATTTGTGGATTCCAATGCAAAACCAAAACTCACTTTCTCGTGTTCAAATATTGCTAAAACAGCCATGCATGGTGATGCATAGCTATAATCCCAGCAGGATAATCAGGAGCTCAAGTCTAGCCTCTGCCATACAGTGAGGTTGAAGCCAGCCTCAGCTAAAGAGACCCTATCTCAAAAATAACCAAAGTAAACAAACAAATAAATAAATAAATGATGGCAGCTAAGAATTTCAAGATGACAATTCAAGAGTGCTGTGGCTCTCAGGGGCCCTTCCAATTATGTGACCCTCTGTGTGCTCAGAAGTTGCACGCCATGAAAGCTGACCTGCCTGGAAATACTGAACACTTAGAGGAAAGCATAGGAGAAAACCTCCTTACCTTGTGTTAGAAAAGAAATGGCTTAGATTCCTAAGAGAATAAACTGATAAACTCAACTTTGTGAAAATGAAAATATAAACAACTCCCCAAATAGACTGTTAAGTAAACAAAAAGCAGAGATTAGGAGATAATATTTGCCAAAATTAACAATAAATTTTAACATTGCTCATTTGTAAGATGCCAGACATAGTCCTCGGGACTTAACCTTAATTTTTGTAGAGAGATCACACAGCATATATTTACTGAAGTGTATGTATCATAATCATAAAAGTTCTACAGGTATTCAATAATATGAAGTATTAAGCTGAGAAGCCTAAAGTGAGTGCAGACTATTAGCGTTCACTAAAATTTATCTCTTCCTTCCCATTTTTTTTCTGGCTTTAATATGAGAAATGCTTTTGAAAATTCACCTACTTCTAATGCCTTAAAAGTCTCCCAAATAAGGCATCTTTGATGACCACATCTGCCTATTCACATTCAATATGCAAGGTGCTCTTCTTATTTGACTTTTCTAAGACCAAGTACACCAAGAAGTTGTCAGTGTTTCCTAGATGCACAACAACAGCCCTGACACAGGTAAGTGTGCAAGTGCCTAGTAAGAACAGCCTTGAACTTGACTTGTAATTCCCTAGCTCACTCTTTTGGAGCAAGGGACATTCCAGCCAGAGAGTCCATAATGGTTCCCAGTGTCCTGAAAGAATGCATGTGTCTCCTGTGGCCACTTTTAACATCTACAGGAAAGCAGGACACGGGAACACATGTGTTTCTGTGTGTCTGGCCCAAGCTGCTGGTCCCTTGCAGGCCTTAGAGAAAGGATACAGGCTTCAAAGGACTTACAAGCTAAACAGTGCAACGTTTTTGGTGCTCTTGTAAACACTAGGACAACAAAAGTCTAAGTGTTCAGCAAGGGTCTGATGACCATTAGAACGTCCCTCAAGACAGCCCCGCAAATCTCTTCATCTCGAGTGGGTATATACATGTCCCTCATCACCAAAGCTCCCTGATAATCAATGAATTGTTTCATTCTGGATTTCCATTGAGGTAAATTCTGAGTCTCTAGCACTTCCATAGCAATGAGTTTGGATTAGCGTACCTCATTTTTACAAGTGTGAGTATAACATTTTTCTGTAAAAGGAAGAATCATGGGCAAGCTATGTTTCTTCCTTGAAGCAGTAGTGGTAACAACTTACAAGGTTAATTCAAATTCTGGTAATTACTGAACACAGAATTTTTTTTTTTACTTCAGTTTTTCTGTCATCTAAGTGTCTACGCCTCAAAATTTAAAAAGAAAACACGCTGCATGAACTCCAGTGTTCTTTGGTTTCATAGGCCTAAAAGCACAAGATCATATTCCGTAATCCCATTGTTTACCGTTTTATGTAGCACTTGAATTTTTTATTGTCTTCATGCCTCCTGATTCAAAACGAAGTATACAATAGCTGCCTCTGCCGTCTGCATCAACAGGGTTGGGGATCACATTTTTCCTGGGCGTTCTTTATCACCTGGTGAAAATCATTCCTTCGAACTTGCTGCAGCATGGTAGCTCAATACTTCTACCTTTAAGCCCTGCCCTACAACAAGTCCTAGAACTGATGTTCACCACAGGTAAGGTGTGGATCTCTGAGACAGCAAAATCCAAGAAGACTTGTCACATATTTACAACTTTAGTCTTATTGTTGGTAAGGTTAGCCTAGATAAACTTTTGATACATTCTGTGTGCTCTGGACATAGTGAGGTTTTTCAAAAAAACGTGATCAAACACCCGTATGTATGTATGTATGTCTGCATGCATATATGTGTGTGTATGTATGTATGTATTTCTAGTATCAAATGTGGTGATAACAAATACACTAGCTTTTGTCTACTTGGACTCCCTCCCCCACTTTCTATCTAAATTCACAGTATTTCCCTCTGTGTGTGTTTATATTAAGAATGTATAGGACTTTGGGAGAGAATGCTACTTTGCATTTTGTAACTGATTTTCTCAGCAAGTGTGGATGGAGACTGTGCACAAAAGCAAACAAGAATGTCATTTGTTTCCAATAATTAGGGACAGTGGCCTCTAAGGATTTGGGGAGAGGAAGATTGTGGTATCCATCTTTGAAACTGATATTTAATAGTCCACTCCATTTCATCAGGAAGAAAGGAATGCACTCTGGGAAAATAGTGGCCAAATAGTCATAATGTACACACATGGCAACACAACGTACCTGCCTAGTACGGGTACTCGGGTTCTGAGAGGCAGGCAGGAGAGTGAAGCCCATCCAGGGGTGGCCAGAAGAAACGAAGACCACATCTCTCTCAATTATCAGTGAAAATGAAGGCACCAGTCCATGTCATGTATGGGAAGGAAGAAAATTCTCGGGTTAATTCATCTCCAAGCGTGTCTAAAGGTGGGAGGGCTTGTAGGGGGAAAGCACTCAAAATTCATTTCCTGTGAGCTGTGGATTTTATGCTCATTTGCTATCCAAAGAGCTCTTTTTTTTTCTTGAAGGGGACACACAAGCAACACTTATTTTTGACAACTTGAAGAACTGTTTTTTGTTGTTGTTGTTGTTGTTAAATTGCTAACACACACAGGGTCTGGAGATGTGAATGTTAATATTTTGTAGCCATACAGGGAAGCCTCTGAACTATTCTTATCCCCTTATTCAAAGCAAGGTGCCCTGAAATATGTGAAGCCATGCATTAACGGTTTAAATTAAGTTACAGGTATAAATTTTATATGAATCAGATTAATATTATATGTCATGATCGTGTCCGTGCATTATTTAATTTTTGCGTGCTCTAATTTAACGCCCGCAAAGCAATTGCATGTCTTAAGCCCACTTCTGCTTCTGGACAAGTCCAAGAAAGACCCACCACGATCTTGGATCTTGTTTTATGTGTATTTCCCTTCATCAGAAACCCTGCATTTGATCCGGCTTCCGGCAATCTTTTCTTGTATTTTTGCTAAGCTTTAGCGTGCATATATACGCATACCTACATATGGAAAGGCTACCCATTCCATTCAATCATATGGGCTCCGCAATTGTGAAAGATGAATGATGATACCAAGGGGGTGGGGGGGAGGGTAACACAGACAAATGAATCAACGTGCTTCTTGAAAGCAAGTCCTTCTGAAGACACTAGAATCTTAGAAACGGGTGCCTGGGAGCTGAGCTCCCCACTTTGAAGAATGACAGGGGACCTGCGAGCAAGGCGTATAGTCTCTCGGCATCCTGGGCCCGTGGAGAACACATTCCAGCCAGCACATTCCCCTAGTTCTTCGCTGGAACTTCTCTCGGTCTCTTCCCCTCCCTCGGGCACTCTCCATCCTGGCTCGACTCCCACCCAGTTCTCATTTTCTCAGATCCCCTCCCACAGCGTTGACGGAATGGAGTGCCCTTCCCATTGGCCCGAGCGTCATTCCCCGAGGAGGCACTGGCCTCCTGATTGGCTGGTCACTCCCGACCCCCCGCCCATTTCACCCTCCCACCCTCCACCCCCGGGTTGCCCGGCGCCCCGCCCTCGCCACCTCCCTCCGCGCCACCGCCTGCGCGCACAGCTCGCCCGAGTCCGGTTCTCCGGGCGACCCGGCCCGCGCGCTGGCCCCGCCCCCAGGGCGCGCGGCTCTACAAATACCGCTGCGCCGCGAGCCGGGCGAAGGCGTTGAGCTGGGAGGCGCGGTTGGGAGTCGTTACTTCGAGAGGGTAGTCGCCGGCTAGGGGAGTGCCGTGGCGGCGATCCACCTTAGTCGGAGCTCGGAAGGGAACGACTCAGACCAGGGTGGGCTACTTTATTTTTCTTCCGGGGCTTTTGATTTTTCTTGTCTTTTGCTTTGGGTCGAGTGTCGCTCACTGGGAACTGAGATCCGCTTGCCCAAACCCCGAGCGACCCTCTCCCGTCGATTTCTGAGGCTCGGGGTCGCCCAGTGCTGCGAGCGCGCCGGACGCACAGGCGAGGGGAGCAAAGCGCATCGCGGGCGGAGACCGGGAGCTCGCTCGACCGCTAGTCCCCCAGCGGGTCTCCTCGCGCAGGACGCGCGCGATGAAGGCGGTGAGCCCGGTGCGCCCCTCGGGCCGAAAGGCGCCGTCGGGCTGCGGCGGCGGGGAGCTTGCGCTACGCTGCCTGGCCGAGCATGGCCACAGCCTGGGTGGCTCGGCGGCCGCTGCCGCCGCCGCCGCGGCAGCGCGCTGCAAAGCGGCCGAGGCGGCGGCCGACGAGCCGGCGCTGTGCCTGCAGTGTGATATGAACGACTGCTACAGCCGCCTGCGGAGGCTCGTGCCCACCATCCCGCCCAACAAGAAAGTCAGCAAAGTGGAGATCCTGCAGCACGTTATCGACTACATCCTGGACCTGCAGCTGGCGCTGGAGACGCACCCTGCTCTGCTGAGACAGCCGCCACCGCCCGCGCCACCGCTCCACCCGACCGGGGCTTGTCCGGTCGCGCCGCCGCGGACCCCGCTCACCGCGCTCAACACTGACCCGGTGAGAACCCTCGGCGGGCACCCCCCCACCCCCGGGCATAGCGAGGGCGGTGGGTGGCCCGGCGGCCAGACAGGGGTGGTCTCCCTTCTCCCAGGGAATAGCAACGGCTTCCCGGATCTCCTCTGGGAGCCGCCTGCTGGGCTGGGTGATCGCAAGTGCCGGTGCAGGAGCCGGTAGGGACCCGGAGCCTTGCGTCTCCAGGACTGTCCCTTGCAGCTCAGGGGGCTTCCCCAGCTTCGGGCTGGGGTGGGGACTCCGCGCGTCTGCCTAGTTTCCCAGGACAGCTCCCGGGCGGTGGCGACGGCGTTGTCTGCACACCCTAACCTTTCCCTTGGTGTTGGGTTGCTGTTCCAGGCCGGCGCCGTGAACAAGCAGAGCGACAGCATTCTGTGCCGCTGAGCCGCGCTGGCCAGGTGAGCGCTCAGGTCCCGAATTGGGTGGTGGATCACCAGGGTCGCAGGTCCCCGGGGGCTGCTGGTGCCAGGCACCGTGGCGATCTTTGTCTCCCAGCATTTCGGAGCGTAAATCCTCGTGGACACCCACACCTTCTCTGCCACCCAGTTAGCGAGGTAGTCCGCACTTGCTCTCCAACTCGGGGGGGTCACTCTGCCGAGACTCATCAGCTGCGGTCCCCACCGCGTTCCTCTCGCTGTGACCGACAGACTCTGCTGGTCTCCTCTATCTCTGGGAGAGGGCACCCTCGTGGGCGTGGAAACTGCCCCAGTGTCCCGAGTTCTCTCAGCCCTCATCCCCAACAGAGCATCCTGACACCCACAAAGAGAGATGCGGGCAGAGCCCCCCAGAACGCCCCCTGGCCTTCCCCAGCCCGCATTTGCCTGCTTGGCGCTTGGCTGAGCTGCGGGCTGCGGGTGTTGTCTGACCCGGCGGTTTGTTTTGGGTTGTTGATCATGCATGTCTTGAGTTTGGTCGGTGGCGCCAGTTAGTCTGCAGCGAGATGGTTCACACATCCCCTCTATTCATTCCTCTTCCACAGGTGTGCGGCCGCCTGAGCACGAGCGAGCCAGGAGCCCTAGAAAGGGAGGGCCAGAGCAGAAATTAAGAGAAAAAAGCCACCGGAGGAAAGGGGGAAAATACTTCAGCAATTCTAGAAACGTTGTCTCGTCTCGTCATTCCAAGAGAGAGGGAGAGAGGAAAAAATAATAAAACTTTCATTCACTTTTAATTTTTTGCACGTTCACAAGCTTTCTCCGTACGTATTCTCTTTTGTTTCTTCTTTCATAACCGCTGTGAATTGTACATTTCTATGGTTATTTTTATCACCCTTTTGGAGGTGCAGTTAAACTTTGAAGCTTAAGTGTGACAAGACTGCTAAGTAGAAGACCAATAGTGAATCCAACTTTAGAGGCTACATTGTGACGAGGGAACTGTTTTTGTTTTTGAAGCTTTACTAATATACCAGAGCATTGTAGATACGTTGTTTTACATCTATTGTTTAAAATAGATGATTATAACAGGGCAGGGAACTTTTTCCCTGCAAGAATGTTACATATTGTATAGATAAGTGAGTGACATTTCATACCCTGTATATATAGAGATGTTCTATAAAGTGTGAGAAAGTATATGCGCTTTAATAGACTACTGTAATTATAAGATATTTTTAATTAAATATTTTTTGTAAATATTATGTGTGTGTTTTTTTTAATCTATGGGAATATTTCTTTTGGAAAATTATTTTTCAGCTCCCTTGCAGAGCTCTTAATATTTCGATGTGTTTTCTGTTTGGCCAGGCTGTTGATTTGTTTTTGGTTTTGCCCAGTCTCCAGTATCTGAGGCTCAGAAGGAACAGCTTTAGGTACTGGTCTTGCATGACTGCATGAGATGTTTAATCACAAAATAAACTCGTCTGAGTCCATCCAGATGTGTTTTCTTTATCCTAGATGGGAACCTTTGTATTTGAGATGTACATGTTGAAAACATACCTTATCAGTTTTTAAGTACAGGGTTTTATGGTGTAATATATAAAGAATTAAGTGTGTGGGTTTTTTTTTCCTTTTGAACTGAGGTCAAAAAATAGATTGAGTGATTTCGCATATAGGATGGAGAAATGCTTGGCTCTTTAAGGAGTCTACGGAATCTGCTTTTATTGAAGTGAAAATGCTTGTCGTTCATTTCACACTAAAGCATAATGTCATGAAGTTTCATATCTGTACAGATTATTTAAGTCATAGAAATGAAAGATGTTCTCTGCTTGCTACCAAAGGACAAACTCTTGGAAACGGACATTTTCTGCCCTCCTTCCTCCAAAGAATATTAATAGGCATCAGTAGAAGAAAAATAAAAGCATAATGGAAAATCCTTCAAGCAGGGATAAAAGTCGATCTTCAAACATTAACTTACGTAGACCAAAAATTCTGATGACCACATCTAGATTATTTTTTTATAAAAATGATTTTCACTATAGCGATGTCAGTTACCACTAAGCTCCTGTCCAATTTCATGTGATGTGTAACTTTTACATGTGAAAATTAAAAGTAGATTTATCTGTCTTGTACTGTGACTTCTGGTGTGATTTCTTTAACACCATAGAATTGATTTAGGACCCTTCCCTTCCGGGAAAGTCATATTTTCTAGGTGAGCTGTTAACTCCAGGGTTTGTGAACATCACACATTTAATGTAATAGGTATTTTACATACCAGTTAGATGGAATTTTTAGAGTGGGAGAATTAAGTAGGATTTAATTGGGTGCTTTGTAAATAGTGAACTGTGTGTAAACGTGGTCTGTTTGATTTTTTAAAAGGAAAGGATTTGTTTCAGATTATACAAGAATAAAAGTATTATAGACCCAAGGGACTTTTTATGAAGTCCAAGTCAAACATTTATGGAGATATGAAATGTCACCGTCCCTAGCTGTCAGTTGAAGGGGTAATACCTCAACAGAAATGAACAGAATGAACATGAGCAGGTTAAAAATTAGCCGAGGGTTTCTTAAAAACCTATGTCCTCCCTGCCACCACCATGCTTACCCTTCATCTCCTTCCCCGGTCTCTGGTGTTTTTAGAATTTGATGTATCTGATGTTGAACCTTACAAAGTCGAAGGACTGCCTTTGCATGAGATTTGTGTTGATTTTTTTATTACTCATTCTTCTCACACATGAGGAGGAAAACACTAGACCACTGGTGGAATTCCAAATCGGAAGAATTCTAAGGATTGCGTTCTTTGTTATTAAGAAGGGCACAAGTCCTCCTTTTCTTGGGCAGTTTAATTTCAGAGGGACTGTGTCACGTGTGCCCTTCCCTGGGACTGTGTGTTTGTCATGCCTGACTGCTGAACCTACCTAAGCTGCTAGGCGGTCTAAAGTCACATTGCTGGACTCAATCTTCAAGAAAAAAAATTAGTGTTTGGTGTTTCTGGTGTTAGAAGAGAGATTGGTGTTTAAATTTATAATTGAGCATACAAAAAACACCGAAAGAAATGAGTTTGGAGATCCTGCTCCTGAGAGTTCGTATTTTTCCCTTGGTTGCTTCAGTGGGCCAAGCAGCATTTGACATTTCTAAATACAACCACTGCCCATTAAATGACAAAAAAAAAAAAAAAAAATCTATGCAGTTGTAGAAGATACCACATTCTATGAATATATTGCCTGTGTCCTAACCAGGCAGCCAGATAATAAAAACATTTTAAGTCTTTTATCCAGAAAAGTTTTACTTGTGCAAATATTTAGCTTAACAAAAGAAAATATCCTGGCGTGTTTTTGGTAATTTGTAGAGTTTTATTGTATAGGCAAAACCAAAGAATAAGGTTCATTTAAAACCCAGGAAGGAAAATAAGTATCCCCCGCTGAGGATGTTATTCCTAAAGTTGTTACAAAATCCTGGTGTCTCAGACATCTTATGATAAAGAAAACAATATATGCTTTTTCATTTCAAAGAACTGACTTTGGTATTGTGTAATTCCTACTCAAGTTCATTGTCAAACTTTACTGCATTTTTAGAACTTTAAACAATTTTTGATTCACCTTCCCCCAGACTGTTGTATTAGATGCCTCCTGTACTAATAAATCAATCTTCACTGAGAAAAAGGATCTGAAGTTTGTGGTTTTTAATTGACTTGCACCGAGTTATGCAATTTTTCATTATCAGGAACATGTGCCTTGATGGATCGCCTCAGTTATTTACCATGTTCCTAACCATGGGGTGAAAAATGTGTCTTTAAAACGGTGATGTGAACAGGAAGAAAATCCGGTGTGAATGGGGCTGGCTTTCCTACCTGATGGTGTCTGTTAGGACAGGAAGCAGAGATCCTACACCCGAAGAAGGTGGTGCCCAGAGAAGACGAGATCCAAAAAAAGAAAAGTGCATAATGAATACAGAAAGAAAACAGTTCACAGTGGTGCAGAATGGAATCAGATTGCCTTTGCCTTTCTAGTTGGCACATATTAATTATATACATGTTAATCAGCCCACACAGCCCTTAGGTCTCCACAGGGCCAAGCACCCACCCTCCAGGCTTATGAGGAAGGGAAGCCTTCCCACTGCCTTTTGTTAAGTCCAGGAAATTAATTTTCGGCTTCTGAGTGAATCTTAATAGGGCTGTCCTCAGTAGGCTTCAGACCCACATGACTTCTTTCATTATAAGCCATGATATTCTGTGAAGTACTGGTTTTCTTAATTAGAACCACTGCCCACAAGACTGTAAAACTGACTTCAGTTCCAGCTCTACCTAGAACAAGATTTAGTGCATATGTTCAATGACAGAGACACCATTCACAAACGGGAACCATCTGATTGAGGGGTGACAACCTCAGGTCTCACAGGCTTCACTGGGAACACTGTACTTCTTGGGTACATCTTCCTAGTGTGTTTGCATTCAAGTTTACTTCCTATCCCAGCTCTTAAAAAAGAAAGAAGAAAAGAAAAAAGGAAAAAAATCTCTTAGTACTAAAACTTGGGCCTGGACTGCTTTACCAAAGGCCTTCTACACACACCCCCAAGCAAAGTGATTGATGCAAGGCGCTGCCAGTATAGGAAAAGAGGTAGAAAATCCAAGGTTAACTTGGAAAGCCTCTCTGAGTTCCTCTGACTCCATAAAATAAATAAATAAATAAAAGGCAAGCACCATTGTTTCTGAGTGGAAAAAACAAAATGTATTACCCAGATTTCATTAACTAAAATAGGACCAGAGAAGATTTGAACTTCAAACGTCTAAATAAGGAGACCCAAGACACTTTCTATATATGAATCCACTGGTGTGTGGAATTTTTCCCATAAGAAATTCCCTATTTCGGATGGGAACTTTCTACAGGATTCTATGAAAGCTCATAGGGAACAAAGATATTATCATTGACTTAATTAGCATTTTATAATTCTTCATGATATAAAATGCCGATTGGCACTTCTGACATGCATATTAAAGTCAAACTTTATAATTATATCTTTTGTTCCAAGTTTTAATTCCCAAAGTATTAAATCTAATGGTTCTTCCTACAGATCCATGTTTCTTAAATACTCAAATATCTTAAATATCTCTTGAATATTTTAAACATCTGCTGAAATATTTCCTTAAATATTAGCTTAAAAATACATAAGTTTTAGCAGTCAGTTGAGTGACTATAATCACGGCTGTGCACCACCACACATGGCAAACAGAGAGGAAAAAAAAGCTATGAATTTTCCTCCATTCTCTCCAGTTTTTAATTCCTAAGATTGGTAATGTCCACAAGTTCTCACCCCTTTTCTTTCAAACCCCTCCCCACCTTTCTTGGATGATTCTAATCAAGCATGTCATATTTAAGCACAAGGCAGGATCAAAACAAAACAAAAGAACAGGAAAATGGATTATTGTGTTTAGAAACTCCTAGTACGCTGTTTGAACCTTGCAAGTAACTTCAAGAAAGATAAAGAGAAGGAAGATGTTCTCATTTGTATGTAAACATCAGAGAAAGCCCAGGAAACAGCACAAACCTTAACAGGCAAAGAGCAGCCATCCTCAGAAACCCTTTTCAGACATGTTGAACCTGAGCCCTAGGTCGTATTGGAAACAAAGGAGGCTCCCTGAGGTTGAAGACCACCTCTGCCTTTTCCCCTATGGCCCCTGGTACCTTGTAAAGTATCTGGTGGAGTGAACCATGCCTCCTTCAGACAGCTTCACCCCAGGACTCCTATTCAGTCATCCTTTGCCCTTCCATGAGTGCTTCAAGCCACTGTATCGACTGCTCTCTGGTCCGTCCTGCCTCTAAGAAGCAATAGATTTAAACGTCTTCCCCAGACTTGCTCTTCTGGTGCATTCCTTATCTTGACTGATGGAACCTCTCTACAGGTCAGATATCTGAGAAAAGCACTTGACTGTGTCACTTAACTCCATCATAAAAATGACCATAAAGCTCTCTCACAACCCCAGGCCAACCTCCCAGGATCTCTGCTACCTCTCTTCATGGCCTTTCGCATCTGGATTCAGTATTACCTCCTGAGCACTCTGTCTTCCTCCCTCTCTCTCTCTCTCTTTATTTTTTTTATTTTGTTTTATTTTATGTGTATGGCCGTTTTGCCCAAATATATGCCTGCACACCACTTGCATGCCTATGCCCTGGAAGCCAAAAAAAAAAAAAAAAAAAAGTCAGATCTCTTGGAACCAGAGTTATAGATGGCTGGGAGCTGCCATGTGGGTGCTAGGAATTGAATGCGGGTCCTCTGGAAGATCAGCCAGTGATCTTATCTCCTGAGCCATCTCCAGTACCATCTCCTGAACTCTGTCTTCTCTCTCTCTTCCTCTTTTTTCTATCTCCAGTGAACGCAGCCACAAAGCTTGCCGATCTCTCTTCCAATGAGGTAATGTCCAGTTCCCTGGACCAGCATACCTGATCATCTGGGCACCAAATGAGTCATCTCCAGGCTGGGGATATCATTCAGTTGGTAAAGCGCTTCTCCAGCACGACAGAAGCCCCGGGTGGAATTTACCACATAAACGTCAGCTCCACATAAACTGGGTGTAAACAGCTATTGCTTATATCCAAGGAGGTAGAGGCAAGAGGATTCTAGTTCAAGTTACACAGTGAATTCAAAACAAACCTGAGATACATGAGATCCATGATGATGGTAATGATGAGAGTGCTCATTCCCACAGTCCTCTCTCCTCACTCCTGAGTGTCATTGCGCACACATTTTATGCTCCCACTGTACCTAAGATCTCATCCTGAATGTGTTAAGTTAGCTTATCTCTCACGTCTTGACAGAGTATGATTGATCCCTGAGTGTCAGGGAGAGAACAGTCCCGGGAAAGCTACACCAGGAATGAGGAACTGTAAGGGTGGGGGCCAGAGGCACCTGCCCTGCCAGCCAAACCAGCTAAGTCAACCCCATCTATCTGTGTATGCTCTTCCATGCTTCCTTCCCTCCCACGCAGCATTACCCCTGCCTGGACCCCCAAACTCCCAGGCCTGACTATTAAATTCCCAACTATCTTTCAAGATTCAGCTGCTAACCCTTTTGGGGAAATCTTTGCTGCCTCTCCTTACTCTGCCAGTAAATGCTACTCCTCATGCTATATTATCATCATTTTCATATTTTCATGTGACCATGTTCATGGTTGACCCCCTGACCTTCCGAGAACTGCAGAACACAAGTGCTAGCTCTGTACCAGCAGATCTAGCAAATTCTTTGTAGCTCAAAACTGCAGAGGAGAGATTTTCATTATCTAAAAGCCTTTGGCTGCCTCCAACATGGGAAAGAGATAAGCGGTATGTTCTTGAGAATGAAGGAGCGTGGTCAGCCGCAGGCAGAGAGTTGGAGGGAGACATTGAGAAGGGGACATGAGAGGGAGGGCAGATTGGCGTCCTAAGTAGAAAAAAAGAGGCTTCACTGATTCAAGTTAGGATAAGCAGACAAAGTCAGTCAGTGCCTGGGCCGAAAATGCAAGGCAAGGAGGGGTGATTACAAATGATGGAATGTGAGAGGATTGGAAGCAGCAGGCCCCAAGGATGGGGGGGGGGGGATCTATCTCTGTCTCTCTCCCTCTCTCTCTGTCTCTCTCTGTCTCTCTGTCTCTCTGTATCTCTCTCTCTCTCTCTGTGTGTATGTGTGTGTGTGTGTGTGTGTGTGTGTGTGTGTGTGTGTGTGTGTGTACACGTGTATGTCTTGACTTTCAGCCCCATGGATTTAAGAGTCATGAGACAGATCAGCCACTCCATAATCCTCATGAAGCGGTTCTCAAAGGACATGCTTGCTGTATGCAGAGAGAAGTGCTCACGGCTCCTGCTATGATCTAGATCCCCAAAAGGAGTGTATGATTAGAAACCTGGCCTGTATATTAGAACACACATCTTACTTTCCAGTGAAAAGACAGGCATGCAAAAGACAGAGTAGTGGAGTCGAGCCTGAGACCAGGTTTCTCTGTCTCTACAGCAGAGTGTAAACTCACTGTGGACGGCTTTCCTTCCACCTTACCCCTGTGGGTTATGCCATTCTCTACTCTAATCTACAGCTTATTTTGTGTTCTTTCCTAAGAAGGTGGGCTTTGGATCTTAAGTAAATAGCTGTGAAATGCTGAACTGATTTGTCTGTCTTTAAGAAAAGGAGACCAGCTGGGCGTGGCAGAGTAGCAGAGAGGAATGGCACATGCCTCTAATCCCAGCACTCAGGAGGCAGAGTGAGGTGGAGGCCAGTCTACTCTAGATAGTGAGTTCTAGGACAGCCAGGGCTATGTAGAAAGACCCTGTCTCAAAAAGAAAAAAACAAAACAAAACAAAAAACAAACAACAAACAAACAAAAAACAAAAAAGAAAGGAAGAAAAGGAAAAAGAGCAGAGATGAAGTCCTCAACAAGGATCAAGAATCCCCAGGGGGCTTTGGTGTGTGTGTGGGTGTGTGTGTGTGTGTGTAGGCCAGAGGTCAGCATGAAGTATCATGAAGGGTCTCTCAGCTCACCTATTGGCTAGATTGGGTTGCCAATAAACTCCAGAGATCCATGTGTCTCCACTTTGCAAGCACAAGCTATCCCGCCTGGTTTTTACAAGCGTTCTGGGGATCTGAACTCAGATCTCCAAGCTGACGCACAAAGTAGTTCACCAACTGAACTGTCTCCCCACGCCAAGAACTGCAAAGCCCTTTGGCCAGGGCCACTAGAAAGGATGGTAGTTTTTGATAAATGATGCTGGAATAATTGAATGTCCATATGCCCCACTCCCCAAGTCAATTTAGACCCAGAATTTATACATCTCACAAAACTTATCTCAAAATTAAAGACTGGAAGCCGGGCGGTGGTGGCGCACGCCTTTAATCCCAGCACTCGGGAGGCAGAGGCAGGCAGATCTCTGTGAGTTCGAGGCCAGCCTGGACTACCAAGTGAGTTCCAGGAAAGGCGCAAAGCTACACAGAGAAACCCTGTCTTGAAAAACCAAAAAAAAAAAAAAAAAAAAAAAAAAAAATTAAAGACTGGAGAATGAAATTGAAAAAGGTTTTTAAATATTTTAGAATAAAATACAGAAGATTATCCATATGTCCTTGGGTTTAGTGATGAATTTTTAGACAGAACACCAAAAACATGACCAATGAAAGAATTTTAACCTAAGCTGTTGCCCACAATAATACCTGCCCTATCCGTGTGTGCTGCCCTACCCTCCAGTCTATGGAGAGTGTGTTATGGGGAGGAGACACCATTGCAGGACAGCCAAGAGATTGGTGTTCTGCTCAGAGTTATGCTATGAATCAGCTGGGTCTCTTTAAGCAAGTAACCCCTGTGTCTCAGCTGTGGCTCCAGAAAATGGGTACATAATAATAAAACACCTACAAAACATTATGAAAAGCCAAAAGAGTAGTTTGTAAAAACAATAAAATAAAATAAAAAAAACAAATAAATAAACTGCTTTCTCCCACAATGGTTATAATCTTCGTGTAAAAAAGCCATCTCCAGAGATTTTAAGATTATAGAATCCAAAGTTCTCCTGATACCTTCTATTACCTTTGAGACTCTGACTTTACTCATCCAGCAGGGGACCCAGGCACTCACATTTTTGCTTTTCTTTGGAAAAGCTGAGTCAAGCTTCTGAGGAATCCTGGTTTGAGAGACAGTGATGTAAGACATCAATAAAATGTGGCCTCTGTCATGCATAGCATGCTCTTCTTTAACATCAACACCCAATGTGTCAGGGGCTTTAACCAAGTAAACAGGAAACCAACAGGAGGTGGTGGCAGTCCCAGCTAGTGGAGGAAGAGAGGTTGGGAGCAAGGAGGGAGCCGCTTCACAGGGGAGACTCTGGAGGGGACGCTAAGACAGGTGAAGGGTCAAGTGCTGGCCCACCCGTGGCCTTGGTTTCTATCCAGCTTTTCTCTAAGTGGAAATCATTATAATAACCTCCTATGTTTTCACACTAAATCATACTACTTTCCAAGAAAGACCCAAGAGAATGGAAAAAATGTCACCCTCCTCTACATTTTTTCAAGTCATTACCTTCTCTTATTGTATCTACATGGTAGCCATGCAGGCAGTATGAGCAAGCTGATTTTAATAGTGATGACACTTTTCTGAAAAACATACTCAGAAAAAACCTTACTGTCTCTTCCATATTAAACCATCTCAAGGCATTGCCTTCAACCCAGCATGGAAACACAAGCTAAGTGGCCCTACCAAAACCTCAGCATTAGCCTTACTACTACCTAACTCAGCACTACTGAATACTAATACACTAATCATAAAATTGGGATGTATAATTGTCACCAAATTTCACGTACTAGATTTTTCTCTGTAGGTTTGTATATCATTTTTACAAATAATAAAAAAAAAAAACACTAGGGAGGGGAATAGAACAATTCAAGAATTGACCAAGATCTTTTCTGAAAGAACGAGGAGATGAGTGAGTGTGAAGAACTCAGTTCTGAGCTCTATCACATGTGGCCTCAGAGAAGTTTCCTGACCTCTCGGGTCCAGGAGCAAGCTTGCTGTTAGGATGGGGCATGATACTGAACAACGAGAGTCTGTGGGCCACGTGTATGAGGCTGCTAACACACTCTCAGACACTTAGCTACTCAACAAGCACGTTAGTTCCTTCCGTCTGCTCCTCCCTGGCCTTCCACATTTGACTTGGAAGGTAGGTGTTCTAAAGATCACGTGCTTGATGGGTAGAGAAGGGAATGACTGGAGTGTGCCTGCTCTCACCCAGTAGAAGACAGGTATAAGCAAGTAGAAGACATGAGTGTGTATGGCTATGTGTCCACTAGATACGCATAGCAGCAATTTCAAAAACGCACACAGACACTTCGGGGAGTTAAGCCTTCTTGAGGCAAGGATGCTTTCCTGTTTTGTTCCAGAACAGCCACGAAGCTCTCTGCTCAGACAACACCGTCTTAAACACCGTGGTCCAAGACAGATGTGAAGAAAGCCAAGACAAAGGGTGGGGGCAAGACAGACCACAGTGGTGGGGAAGCCAAGAAGCCCTGCTTTCTTCAAGCTTCCCTGTAGGAAGCTTTGGGTTGTGTCTGTTGATTTTGCTCTAGAGGCCAGGTTCAATGCTTGCTGATGTTTCGATCTGTTTCCTGAGGTGTGGCTAAATGCTCATGTCTTGCATGGTAACTAGTCTATTTACATTCTTTTGGTGGAGAAGCAACCTTGAAAGATAAAACTAGAGTGGTATACTGCATAACAGATAAGACATGAGGTAAGAAGAGGGAGTGGTGACCCACACCTGTAACCCCAGTACTTGGGACACAGAGGCAAAAGGATAAGGAATTCAAGACCAGCCTCGGTAAGTTGATAGCCTCCATGGAACTGCCTGAGACCCCACCTCAAAATCACAACCAGAATAAACAGGCTAAAGTTGAAGACAGCATCGAAACCTGTGTATTCATGGCCGAGAAAAAGGTATCCCATAACTGATATTGAAAATTACTTGCGGCTTGTGCATTCCTATTAACTGCAATAAATTCAACAGAGTGAAGTGGGGGGGGGGGGTTGGGGAGGTGTGTGTGTGTGTGTGTGTGTGTGTGTGTGTGTCAGTATTTAGGAGTTCATTGTGTCCACCGCAGCATTCCAGTGAGTCGTGATGCAATAGCATTATGAAAAGATATCGATTTCCCACATTTTACTGATAAGGAAACCAAAGCTGGGAAACTTTAAAACGTGCCTTTTGGAAGGGGAGCTGCCAGTACAACTCGGGCAACCCCGGAGCTAGAGACGGTCCAGTTGTTAAAAGCACTTGTGGCTCTTGAGAGAACCTAGATTCAGTTCCCAGCTTGAACTGTCCTAACCATCACCCCCTTCTGACCTACAAGAGCACCAGGCACGAGATGTACATACGTATGTTCAGGCAAAGCACCCATACACATAACAGAAAAATAAAAATATCTAAAAGTGTTTTTTTAAAAGCTCAGGCCTCCCATCCTCAGGTAGAGAAAACTTTAACTTCAACACATACATACATACATACATGCATACATATATACATTATACATATACACATACATATACATATACACATACATACATATAATTTGTACTATTAAAACTCCTTCTTATTCTCTTTCCCTTCTTCTTCCCTCATTTCTTCTCTTTCCTCCCTCCCTCCCTCTCCCTGCCCCCTCTACCACCCTTTTTAAAAATCACCATTTGTGCCGTTATACCATATATTCCCTTTTCTGGAAGATCCTTTTCCTCTTACACAAATTCCGTGCACACACCCCTCTCTCTGCATTTTTACTCAGTAAAGAGAACAACACTCTTTTGAACCACAGCAATCCTAACGGCTGCTCCTGGGAAGAGGTACAGCTTCCTTCACAGGTATTTTTTTCTAGGGTGAAAAACTCCATGATCACTGTACAAGTCAATCCCCAGGTCCCCGGCACTCCCCTGGAGCCCAGCAGACCCTACCAATTTGCTGATCAGCTTCTACTTCCAATTTCCTGGCATGCGATGCACCCATACAGTGTCATCCTCCTGCCTCAGCACTTCAGAGACAGAGCATGTGTGTTGTGGACTTGTGTTCTTGCCAAGTGTGGGTTTTATTATCACACATGGGAAGAGACCCCTCGGCGCTCCAGTGTCTATAAAGTGGCAGATGAACTCAACCCCAGAGTCACAGTTTCATGTTAACTCAGCCCAGGAATTTAAGACGTGCTTTGTGCAGTCTCAGGTGTGTATCTAGACCAGTGGTTCTCAACTTTCATAATGCTGTGACCCCTTAATACAGTTGCTCATGTCATGGTGACCCCCAACCATAAAATGATTTTTGTTGCTACTTCATGACTATAATTTTGCTACTGTTATGAATCATCGTGTAAATAATTTTGGAAAAAGAGGGTTGTCAAAGGGGTCGAGACCCACAGGTTGAGAACCCATCGTATCGGGTTATAGAAAGGAAAAGAAGAGATAATGTATGCTTTCCCAGTTTGAGATCGCAACTCTCCACAGTTCTAATAGTTTATCTTGTTGATGAAATTTCTAACAAATTTCAATTATTTATCAAGAAATCAAAAATCCGTTAAAAATACATAAAGGGTTCAACTTTTAGAGGCAGCATCGAAACTGCTTACAGAGTCTGGCATTTTCTGGGTAGGTTGAGGTGATTCTACAATGTGGCTTAACACCAGGCGGAGTAACAAAATACTTCCACAGATCTCGCGAGTCTTGCACGGTGGTTTTGAGATTCGTCTGGACCAATAACGATTCCATTTCGCTCACTCTTCCTCGCCTGCTTAAGGAGGGGCTGCACTTGGGATCCCAATGCCACCTTCACTCATGAAACTGCACTATAAAGAGGCGATGCAGAGGTGAGGTCCTAATGCCGATTCCACGGGACTGGGTTAAGATTGTGTTTTCAGGCTGGGCACATGGTGGCACATGCCTTTAATCCCAGCATTCCAGAGGCAGAGGCAGGTGGATCTCTGAGTTCAAGGCCAGCCTGCTCTACAGAGCGAGTTCTAGGACAGCCAGGGCTACACACACACACACACACACACACACACACACACACACACACACACCCTAAAAGGTTGTGTTTTCAGCTTGAGGTTTCAGAGGCCCTGTTCCCAGTCCTTCCTATGCTATCCACCTCAGTCTGTCGGGACACCACGGACATCCTTCCCGTCACAAACTCCCTCCTGGAAGCGCTGACTCTCTCAAGAGTTCTCTCCGGCAGTGGAACTTACTGGGCAGGGAGCCGCTGCCAAGGACAGACTCTGTAGGGCTGTTCACTGCAGAGACCCCGCAGAAGCAATCAGGACAGCAGAGGCAGCCGGGCGGCACAGTGGTGTCTGCCCGCACGCCTATGCTGTCTTTGCTGGCAGCACTGTCCCTCCGACGTCGGCGGTGGGGGCTGGGGGTGGGGGTGGGGGGCAGGAGTCTGCTATGGCAATGTGCCTTCACTCCCTCCTTTCGATCCCATATATCATGTACCTGATTTCCAGGCTTGGGTGAACGCCAGGGTTCCATAAGTTTTGAAAAAGACCCAAAGTCCCCTGCTAGCATTCCTCAGGTGACAGACACTCTTGCTGGGTCCTCCAGGCTGTGAGTGTAGGTTCTCTGCTGCCCTCTCTTGAATTTTAGGGCACACTGCACGCAGAAATAGGGCCAGCTGCCTGAGGTCTTTCTCCCTCTTAGGGCAGCTTCACCTTACTCAGTGCTAGCTAGAACGGGGCGCTAGAACTCTCCCTTTGAGGGCTGTCACTATCCCAGAGTGAAAGCCAACCCCGTTTCCCAAAGCAGTAAAGGACTCAGAAGACATGCAGCGATCTTCTCTTTTTTCCACCTGTCTTATTGACATATAATTGACAAATGACACATATATTCAAGTATATAACTTGATTACATATATATGTATATATACATATATATACACACACATATATTATGAAATGATCACCACAATTATGCTAATGTGTATGTGTGTATGTGTGTTGGGGATGTGGTGTGGGGTGAGATTGGTGTGTGTATGTATGGTGGGGGTGGTGGAAGTGTCTATGTGGGGGTGGAGTGTGAGTATGCACGTGTGTATATTATGTAGGGAGATATGCACATAGAGGTGTGTGTGTGTGTGTGTGTGTGTGTGTGTGTGTGTGTGTGTGCGTGTGTATGTTAATATCCTTGAGATGGACAACCTTAAACACAGGCCCTATGGAAAAGATTGCCACCAAGCCTTACAACAGCAATCCCAGGTTTATTTTCAACACAAGGCTTCATTTTGTTCACACTTTTTTTCCTACTCAAAGACTCAGGACTTCTCTGAAGAACTACAGCTAGCATCCACATCCCAAGTCATCTTGTTTAGGGAACGGGATTGTGTAGAGGTCTGAGCAGCAACCTCAAATAACCTATTTTAAGTCCCATGAACTATGGTCACCATGGATACATTAGACACCCAGAACTTCCCAGCCCTACAGAACTGAAACTTTATACTCTTTGACCAACAGACATTGGCCATTTTTCTGGATACAGAAAATACAGTATAAGTATACACAATGAGTTTATTCCACCATAAAGAATAACAAAATTAGGCTTTTTGTAAGGAAATGTATAGAACCAGAGATCATTTCATGAAGCAAAATAACTAGCAATGCAAGCTCTATTTTTATGAATTTTACCTTTTAAAATTCCATGTGTAAACAGAACCATGTTGTGTTTGCCATTTTTATTCATGGCTTATTCTACTTAGTGCATTGTCCTCCAGGGTGCCACAAAAGGCAGAATTTCCTCCTTTTATTTTTAAGCCTGAATACTATTCTGATATATACATTCAGATATAGATACAGAACACATCGTAGTTACCCATTCATCTACCAAAGATCGTCCAGGTTGTTTCCATATCAAGGCTACTGTGGATAAATTCTTTTCTTGTCTTAACGAGAGGCCACCCTCTGATCTACTTTTTTCATAATGCCAACATACAGTTCTGGTGGCCATGATCCTAAAAGAATAGGCACACCAGAATACATTTTGTGATCCTCTCCAGATGGTACTGTCTGTCCTTCCATGACAGCAGTGGCTGAGGTCCTCGCAGGGTTCACAGGGTGGCAGAGACACGGAGGGACCCTGAGGAAATCCTGGCAGCACAGCTCTCATCCACCCTCCCTTCTCTCCACCAGCTGCCCTCTGCTCTCACACAGCCCCAGAGCTCCTTCCCCAGGCCCTTTCTGACCACAGCTGCCCCCTCTTCCCTCACATCCCCTGCTCATCTCCTCTACTTCCTGATACCGAAGGAATTCATGGAAGAAGAGGAAGAGAATGTTCCTAAGGGACAAAATGAGACAGATGATTGCCACACACACACACACACACACACACACACACACACACACACACACATCCCAATTTCACAGGCATTATCAGAGAGCAAGGAGATGGCAACCATGTATTGCTGGGGGAAAAAAAATCACGAGAGGACTATGTCTAAGAATAAACCCTGTCAGAAATTTGATTTTCAATTTCTCTGTGGCAATTTCTTCTTCAGCCTGTCCCTATAGCCATCACATAGGGAACACAGCCACTCCCTTCTCGTGGAGATGAAGCCATGACAGTCCCACTGCACACCTCTTGGTTGGTAACACTGCTGTACTGACAAAGGAAGTGCCAGAACTTTCTGATAGCCCGCTCAGACCACTAGAAGGATAAAATGAACCCGAACTATAGAGATTCTTGCAACCTCTCAGGCAGCGACATGCCCTGTGCAACCTCTGCGGCTAAACGGGATGCACACTTAGTTTACTGCTCTGCTGCGACTGTCGTGAGATTCTTAGCAATCTGTGAGCAATGAGCCCATCATTACTTTTCACGTGGGCCCTGCAGAATATATAGCTGGTTCTACCCAGTGTTCAGAAACAGCCCAGTCCTGAGGCATCCAATTGTGATGATGCTGGGTAACGATCTTCATGGTGTGCAGTTGTGTGGTTTGCCTGGTACCTGTCATGATTCACCCAGCTAGCATGCCTGCTTGCAAAAGCAATACTGCATGGCAGATTGGCAGCTCCAGTCTCAGGGCTGCAGGCTTGGTCAATTACAGAAAGAAGTTTCCATGGAGAAGTGTGTGATGTACCTGGAAGGAATCACTGTGGCAGGTGGAAAGATGCTGAGAAATCCTGCACAGGGGAGATGGTGCCGTAAAAAGAGTGCTTCACCAGCAGCCCCCAAGGGTACTCTTGTTGAATCTAGAAGAGACAGGAGAAAAAAGTTCCTTCCAGATTCTTCTTTTTCTAGCTGAAGCCACAAAGCCCCTGGTGCATACTCAGCTGACATTTTTTTTTGTTGTTGTTGTTTCTGACTGTTTACTCTGAATTCTTCCAGAGATTTTTCCAAGAAGCACTATATCAACACAATTTGTTTTATTATAATGCCATGTCATATTATAATCTCCCACTCACATCTGGTTGACAAGGAACTGCATTTTGGATGAGCATATATAGATACATATTATCACAGTTGTCATAGAATACCATTTATTCAATGTCCACTATCATATTAGATGCTAAGAGCAGACACATGAAAACATGTATGACAATTTAATAACAGAAGAAAATAATACACTTCCTATTTAATTCAACGTGCCAAAAAAAACTCAAACAAACAAACAGAAAGGCTTGCTGTTTCTTCCTTGTGCCTGCTGGATGGTGGCAAAAAAGACCCCCTAAAATGTATAAAGCTCTTATCTTCATTCATTCCCCAAAGAATAATAGATCAGTCAAAGCTCTGATGCTGTTTTAATAATGTACAATTTACAATTCATTGGTTACCAAGCACTCACAGTATAATTAATTTTACAGACCTGTTCGGCAAAGCTGCGTGGCTTTGTACAATGTGGGCGGGGGCAGTGTCAGAGGAGGGCTGCTGGGAGAGAGAAGGACAAAGGAAGAAAGACATCTTTTCTCTCCTCTCAAAGTAGCCTGGTCCTGCACCGGCCGATTAGCCAACAGAGAGCCTGGGAGCATCATTCATTCTTCTAGGAAGACTACTCAGAGGGAGCTGGGTCACCCGACCAGAGCCTGGCTGAGCAGTTCCCCTTTAGAAGGGAGGTGACCACACTCCCTCTTAACTATGCTCTTGTACAAACCAGAATGAAGTGTCCTGTGCTCACCCCCTCCCTCCTGAGTGTACAACAGATGCAGCACTACTAAGTGGGGTGTGGTGGGGCACAGATTCCCTCCTGACCCCCTACTCCAAAGAAGCACCATTTACTCCATCAGCCCGCTGGAAAGCAACAGAAAATGCGTTTTGCTTAATATGATGCTCTCCAGTTCCTCTCATTTTCCTGCAAACAACATACTTTCCTTTTTCTCTATGATTGAGTAAAACTCCATTGTGTGTGTGTGTGTGTGTGTGTGTGTGTGTGTGTGTGTGTACCATATTTTCTGTATCCATTCATTTATTGATGAACAATTAGGCAGATTCCATCACACACACACACACACACACACACACACACACTCACACACACACACACACACACACACATGAAAGTAGAAGTGAGACTCTGGGGCAGGGAAGGAGACTAGTGGAGGGGGGAGGGGCATAGGAGAAGGTGGAGAGGGGGATTAATGTAACACAGTGAGCCTGGGGAGGTGATTCCGTGAGTCAAATGCTTGCTACATAAATGTGAGGACCTGAATTTTAGCCCTAGAACCCATGTAAAAGCCAGGCACAGCAGCACATATCTGTAACCCCAGTGCTCCTATGGCAGGATGGTAGGTAGAGACAGAAAAGAAAATGCTTGTAGGCCAGCTAGCCTGGTGCATGCAGTCAGCAGAGACCCTGGCTCACAGGAAAGGACAAACGCTGAAGCTGTCCTCCAACCTCATTGCCCCCATTGTGGTATACATTCACCTGTATCTACATGTAAACGCATGCACACATGCCATCCACACACAAAGAAGAGGGCACTTAGCACCAAGAGGGGTTAGGCCAAAGATACCATCCACACACAAAATGATTTTTAATTATTTAAAATTGTGCATAAAGTACAAAATACATTTGAATTAAAATGTCTTTATGAAGCCATCATTATGCGTAATAAATATGTGCCAATCAAAAATAAAATCTCTAAATTTATTACCTATTCTGATGGATGACTTGCTCTGTTTTCAAATATCTGTTCTAAAACATATGTACACATTTGTATACATATACATAGTATATGCATAAAACATAATACATACATGTATGTCTTAGTTAGGGTTTCTATTGCTGCAATGAAACACCATGACCAAAAAGTGGAAAGAGTTTATTTGGCTTACACTTCCACCTTGCTGTTCAGCACTGAATAAGTCAGGACAGGAATTCAAGCAGGGCAGGAACCTGGTACAGCTGATACAGAGGCCATGGAGGGGTGCTGCTTACTGGCTTGCTTCCCATGGGATGCTCAACCTACCTTCTTATAGAAGACAGAACCACCAGCTCAGGGATGGCACACCCACAAATTGACTGGGTCCTCCCCCATTGATCACTAATTGAGAAAATGCCTTACAGCTGGATCTCATGGAGGCATTTCCTCTACTAAGGCTCCTT